AAGTCTGGAGACGGTGAAGATAAATGGAAATATCTAAAATAGCTCGACATTGTCTTCTTGTGGCCCTATGCGACATTTTAGCATCCTCAACCGATAATCTCTCTGATTTAGGCAAAAATATAAGTTGATAAATGATGCTTGGGTGTCCCATCAAAGGACACTGTGAGTGAAGCACAGGCGACGAATCAAAATGGTTCATACAGGCACTGGCGGCTGAATGGAACAGGGCAACGTTTGTTTCATATTCGCAAATGCTCGGACATTGAGGAGGGTCTGTGAAGTTTCCTCCTAGCAGTTCAAACGATGTGCCATTTCGCAAGGCAGCAGTGTATAGGTATGTTGCAACATATGCACACACCTTGCTATTGCCTTGCTAGCATGGGCCTTCCAAAAACAATTGCATGAAGCTGATTGTAAGCCGACCGACCCATTCAACCCGATATTTAACCATCGTTTACTGACGCCCTGGGGAGAATTCGACGAAACCTGCAGTAATTTATGATATACGACCGCTCCGACCTCAGCTCCGACCTCTTATCTGTTATATCTGTACGCAAGTGATATACTTATAATTGCACGAATCCGTCTGCATCCCTGACCCAGTTTGGGCGTCATTCATTGGTGGCCTCTGAGGGCGCACACCACGCGCGCTGCAGCCCGTACCGCTGCGGCTGGGGTTCACGTGAACCGCCGCCGGCGATCCCTCTCAGCGCGTGGCGCCTTCTGCGAGCCGCGCCGAGCCGCTGTCCTGGGGTAGTGGAGGAGGCGGCCGGCCGGCCCCGACCACAGCCCGCCGTCCTCCACGTGTGGCCGGCCGTGGGACGGTGTGGCGGCGAGTCGCTGACCTCCGCGCAGAGCCGCCGCAGCGCCGCCGGAGCCGAGTACCGTTTTTTAGGCCCGCTGGCGGCGAGCGCCGTGCATACCGGCCGGCTGGGACGGCGGAGAGCAGCGTGCCATGGCCCGGCCCGCTGCCCCGGCGACCCAGATGCCCGCGGCGCCGCCCAGCCGCGCCGTCAGCGCCTGTGATCAGCGACAGGGAGGCGTGTGCCACCATCTCCCAGATGTCCAGGCACCGACACGGGCCGGGTCTGATCGACCAATATGATTAGAATGGGTCATGAAACAGTTACGGACGGCGGCGGCGGCGGCGGCGGTGCGGCGGTGGCGGTGGTGCGGCGTCCATTTCCGGTCCGGCGTGAGAGAGCCGGCCGAACGGTGCGGTGGCCGCGGCCCGCTAGATCGCCGGCCGTTCCTCGTGCTGCGGAACGGACCGATCTCAGCTAGTGAAAGGAGACCAGATGGCCCGGCGCGGGGAGACACTGCTGAAACACCGCCGATCGAGTATCACGACGCCGGCCGTCACCGCATCGAGAGAAAACGAATAAAGTAAGTAGCCAACGAATGAAATATGTCGGTTCGATCTATAAGTCATCATCATCTTTGACATTCATGAATGTTTCAACATCATTGACTCTTCTACAAGACCGACAGCTTTCAACAGCACACCTTTCTTTTGTAACCCATCTCGTCTTCACCTTCACAGTCTACCTTGAAGATCACCATAACCCACAACCCTTCCCGTTCGCTCGTAGGCCGCAGAAGACCTGGGGCGACCGCGCCACCATGGTCCGATCGCGCCGGCCTCCGCGGCGGCGACGCGGAGCTCGGATCCGGGCGGTGGGGCCAGAGAAACCGACCGCCGAGCCGCCGGCTGTCGCTGCCGGCGACCGGCCCGACGTGGGATCTGGCACAGACGAGCAATCAGCAGCAGCTGACGGAGCGACACCTCTCGCCGGCAGATGGCCGCCGCACCGGCCGCAGACAGCGTGGAGACGGCGCCTGCCGCGTGACATATGCCGAGACACACGCCAACGGGGTGAGCGGAGCGGGAAACGGGACAGGCCGCAGACGAGGCAAGAAAGCGGCGGTGATTTAGAAATGCACCCGACGACTTCTGGCGCGAGAAACTAACTATTGGTTTGTAATTAAGTAGAGGTTTTACAGTTCAGATAATGCATTATATGCATTATACGTTTATGCATTATAACTATTCTTTGCGCCATCGAAACGACTAATAGAATTCAGCGGATACCATCTTTTCGATCATAATTTGGTTATAAAACTGAGCTTTTAAAAATGATATCAAAGTGATATAAGTACAAAGTGATATCACGAATAAAAGAGAATGGCTGTGTCGCGGGAAGATAAGCCATGGGCGACCCGTTTATAAATGCTAGCCCAGCCGACAAATTAAAATCCAGCACTACATTATTCATCAATTTATTCTTCTTCACTACGCAGCGACTGGGAATTACGTTCTTCTTTAGGTCGATGATGTCCAGAGAGGTATTCAAATCCAACAAAACTTACGCACAAATCAATCGACAGACTTTAAATTACTAAGCATTGTGTAAGCAAGTCTGCAACATTTTTGAAGATGGGGTAATAGAGGCTTACTCATTGCACTCTATGGCAATAGCAGCACAGAAGCATTAGGAGATGAGACGCACCCTGCCCACCACGCCCTTCGCGTGAGGCGAATGACGATGGATTAAGAATATTTTTGTAGCACTCCATACCGTATGCGTATTACACAATCGATAGAATGAGTGGATGAAAGGCGAGAGGGTTACCGATACTACGCGGATTGACATGGTTTCTGCGTCCTATCGGTGACAGATAGATGCTTTCGCCGCGTTTGAAAGGATGATTGATTAAGATTTAACCCTCGCATGTGTGCGGCGTTTGCCAGCTTCTAATGTGTAGGGGGGGGTCGGTTGGACCCCCCCCCTTGCCGTTTGGCCCCTGATCGAGCTAGAGCTTCGCGGAAAAAACGAGCGTGTTGCCCGTGACGAGAGGAAGCCGATGATACCCAATTTTAAGGTCCTAGGTCATTGGTTGACCTTCCAGGTCAGGTCAATGACCCAAAGTCGGGAAAATCGGGACCTATTAGAAAGTCGTAATTTGTGGCTGCTAAGGGGTTTTTCGGGGTGCTGATCACGAATATCGTATTAGTTTTGATCACAGATGATGTCTTTAAGCATTTAGGCCAGGTCGGGTCAGGTCAGGTCAGGTCACCCAGTAGGGGTTGTGACGGGTATTCGTAGTACGTGTCAACCGCCTCTGACAGCTTCGTAACATGTTACGAAGGCACCAAAACTACTTCGTAAATGTTCAAATGGTTGCTAAATTCGAATTCAGCTCCAAAAACTAGTCTAGAAACATGTAAAACTCTAAAAAGTGAACCGAGGTCACCCGAGGTCACCAAAGGTCAATGACCTGACCTGACCTTCAGGTGACCCTGACACCCATTCTAATGCATGGGAGCAACATCAAATCACATGTTTGAACGTTTGAAACCACGAAAAGCTTGCAAACGCGCGGCTAATGCGAGCCGACATACGCGGAATCGCGATTCCGGCCAAACATGGTCTCGGAAAAGAGGTCACAGGTCAAAGGTCATTTGGGTCAGGATCATGAAATTTTCAGGGTAGGTGTAAAATTGATCATTGAGAGGGTACTGAAAGTTTCGTCGCGATCGGTCGCTTTTTACGGGAGTTATTCGCGAAAAACCATGGGGGGGTCCATCCGACCCCCCCCCCCCCTACACATGCGAGGGTTAAGTCACTATAAGCGACCCTTCAAAAACAGCCCAATGAAGCTAGACATACCTGTTCGGCCTCTTCGGGGAAAGGCACAGGTAATAATGGCCACCTTTAAGACCCGAATTTCGCCGTAATACCAATGAAATCCAATAGAAAGAAAAACACCAAAGCAGTTATTTCGACAGTTACACTTTCAACCTCAGCTGGGTGATGGGTGCGCTCTTCGAAACCTCGGATTCAAATTCGGATTTCGGCGCATTATTACCGAAGCAGCCATGACAGGGGGATCCAAAAAGACGGTTTCGGTCACTGCAACTAACCCCCGTAAAAAAAATTCTTTTAATTCCAAAATTATCTCGGATGTCGATGCCTTAAGCAGTACGCACTGGTGTGTAGTTTGAAGGGATTCCAAAATTATCTCGGATGTCGATGCCTTAAGCAGTACGCACTGGTGTGTAGTTTGAAGGACACTTTTTGTTGTACCTAAAATTTTAGTTTTCTTCCTTTTCAGGAAAACGGACAATTTTTGTTAACTTTGAGCGCTGCGAGGAGCGGCATTGGCCCGCCCCCAGGCCCAAAATGCTCCTTTTGGATCGGCCAGTGGATGCATACCTACCTACTAGAGGGACGTGTTGCTCCGTTCCCTTTCGCCTCAATGATCTGTTTTAGACTTAACGTTTGTCAGGTAACAGACGAAACCTTTAGGTGCACATGGACACTGACTGCACAAATCGCATACAATGTCCATGCTTCAACAAAAAGGACATACCTACCTACATAGTACCTACATACGCATGTCCAAAAACGTGTCTTCAATGTTGGCCAAAACGTTTCTGCTCAAATCAGCTTATATGTAGAACGCCTGCTGGCTGCTCATCACCGGAAGAATTAATCGCAAACTCCCAAATACCATATAAGTAGGCCGTAGGGGCACGCCCCCTTTTACGGAAACTATCGAGAGCCGAGCGGTGAGCGGTAGCTCTCCTGGACAATTCCTTTCATATTGCTGGTTTCTTGAGAACTTGGAGAGCGGTGCACAACCTCAAATACTTTCCAAGGAACAAAAGCCTTTAGCAAACGCCGTATAAAACACAAATTATGTAATTGGCCGTCATCAACCTTCTCCACATTGACCTCAGTCGTCTGCTGCGAGGAAGCATCAACTAACTACGGAACGCTACATACGAAAATGTGTCGATTGAAAAGGTTATAATAGAAACATTTTCCAGAAACACAGCATGCATTTATTACATTGCAATGGCCTCAAAATTCGAAGCGAAATAATAAAATCAAGCTAATCAAAATATAAATAGAAGGGAAGAACGTTACGTTTTTAACTAGAAAACCAGGTGACTATTTCAGAGCACCAAAGACGTAAGTGGCGCTTAGACTCACCAGCTTTGGGAGATGCTCCTTGCTTTCGTGAATTGTCCGGTACTGTGACCATCTCACGGAAGGGGTGGTGTTTGTTCTCGCAATTGCACATTTTCTCACGAGCAGTAGCCCTTCGAACAGGCTACGCACCCGACCCGCCGCTGCGTTCGCCATGTCGAGGACTGAGCGCCGGTCGAGAAAATTTTCGACACATGCTGCTTGGGCTATTGCCCGCTAGATGGCAGTACTGTTTGGTACGTAACTCTTCGATTACCAACTAGAATGTGCTAAATAGTGCACATTTTCTCCTAAAATATCATATTGTTTTATCAAAATAATAGCGAACCCTCTTTATTTACCAACAACTTGGGTGTCAGGCTTCAAAGCGTAATTAAAACGTCATCAAAAGATTGCACATATCAGCTGGCTTTCTTTTTCATCATCAATACATATATGACGCAGCTGCTCTAAAAATGATGCATTACAAAACGTGCATTTTCCGATATTTCTTCAAGGTTGCTTCAAGGCCTTCAAACTCAAAATTCAGGGTTTTCAGTGCCATTTTATGTTAATTTCGTCCTCACGTAATTGCGTATATTTTGGAAGGTATATTTGTCTGAAAAAGTAATTGACTGATCAATTTCGAGAGACATGATAAATGGAGTAAGAGTAGTGTGGGGAAACTGGCAGAGGACGATAGACCGCTATGCAGTCATCATTTATCAGGCGATAAATGGTAAGTGTGCCATTCATATCTTCCTGCTAGTATTGTCTACCTGAGATTCATAGATTTTTATGAACCTAAGTGCCATACCCAATTTGCACTTTTTATTTAGAGACAAGGTTACGTAGGTACGAGCAATCCAATTTTTGCCTTTTATTTTATTTTTATTTTGAGCAAATACATAGGTATGCAATTATTGGTGGTGTGCATTACACATTACACAAGCGCTGCGTGGAACCCGAAATGGTTGTCTTGTTGTGACCGTTATTTACTCGACATGTCTCTATGTTTTAGAAAGTTCCACTATAGTCTGACAAACCTGAGAAAGAACAGACTCAAAATGCACCACCATTGATGAATGTGCATTTAAATTGCTTCAAATGTTTCCAAGAAGATTTCTCTTGTGTCCTTTCACACTGATTCTCTTCAAGTAATGCATTCCCAGTGATCAAAACATGTGCAATGTTATTCAGGCTGTTTTGCTCCATTCTTCATCTTTCTGACGTTTGTTAGACTACAATGACTATGTATGTATCTAATAACATTAATCTTTCAGAAGCTACTTTTTATTTCTTCTGGAATGAAGCAGAAGCTATTTCAAATGCTAACAACATTGCATTCACAATTTTTACAGCTTTATGCATTTGAATAAAGTGGCTCTTGTTGAGTTGAACATCTAATTTGGCAACCAGAGCATGTTTTTTTAGTAGGCATTTGCTTATTGGAGTCAATATCATACACTGATTGCTTGTAAATTATAATTTCTGCTTATTACCTGAAGTAGCAGCTCAATCAGTAAAAATGTATGTCTGTGATTTATATTTGAAATTCAAAAGACTTCATGTAGGATCAAAAATAATACTTTACAGAGTTGATTGCAATGATTCATGACTGGCAAGGTTAATTTTGCTAATTTGTGTTACAATAATCTGTTTTTATATGGAATGAGTTTTACCTTGAGTCATGAGTGGTTCTTGTTGATGCTTTGCAATTTTAGAGAAATGCTGTCTAAAATCTATGTACCTACCATTTACATCCTATGTATATCATTTTTTCCAGATGTTTAATGCACTATCCTCATTTGTTACATTTCATAAAGAAGCCATATGCTTTCTGCATTAAAATGTGTGAAAGAAACAACATAGCCCAAGAGTCACAGATAAACAAATCTAAATGTTTTAAAGTGACGCCAGAGTACCTAACTGCTTACTGCACATACTCCTTTTACACTTTTCCCAGGTGCCCAACCAATGGAGTCATTACTCGTTTCACAGACATTGTTCTAGTTACCTATGTGCTAGGTACAAATCTGAGTTGTGAGTGAACACTGAAAGTCAGCAGTGTCTACATCGAACTGATGGTCAGGTGGTCACCCAGCACCCTGACGTGCGTTGTGCCCAGGTGGCGGCGGTCCGTCGCCGGCTCTGGCTCTGGCCGCCGCCGGTGGCGTCCCCCACCAGCGGGCCGCGACGCCACCTGGCGGGGCTCCGCCGCCCGTCGCCGACGACGGCTTCCTCTGGGCGGTCCCCAAGTACCGACGCTCTGTGGAGCGCAGGATGATGCGGCGCTACGGAGCGGAGAGCTGGCCCAACGGCCGCAAACTCATCAAGCCCAAGAATAACCTGATATTCTGTCTAAAGTGCGGCAGCCACTATCTTCCCGGAATGCTGTGCAGTGAGTTTGGCCCTGATTTTGGCCTTTTTTAGGAATGATATGCCAGTTAATATGAAATGAGTAGATAATTAGTACGTTTTCAACGAGTTGTGCCAGCTATTCAGCGAAAAGTTTATTTTGTTCTCGTCAGTTGAGAACTTGTATGAATTCAAGATAAAGTGTCTTAACCTGCCATGTTGATTTGTTTTATGATACTTATGCCCGAATCTCTTCAGTGACCTGTTACAACCGTGTGAAGAGTGAGACCGAGGAGCTGCAAAAGGCGGTGGCGCAGCAGCAGGGCCTCACCCCGCCAGACAGAGAAGTGGCCATCGTGTATCGTGGGGAGCGCGAGGCCATCGACGACCAACAGGCCAAGGTTTGTTCGGCAGATTCGTGAGGTGTCGGATGTGCTGTCTTATGCGGAGTAGAATTGGCCTGGTGGGCTTACAGTGCCATACAACTATTCGTTTGTTGTGGTTAAGTATGCGTCCTCAATAAGTCACCGTTTTTCGAATGTGTATGATTCGAGAAGTTTAGCCCACCTAGCCCATGTGCGCCGTCATAAACAAGACTAAAGACTGTTTGATGATTGCTAATGTGACCGCTTCTCTTCGAAGGCTTCAACGTCTTCCTTTAGCGTTTCTGATCGTGTTCCTTTTTACAGGCGGTCAGACTAGTAGAACTTCCCAAGGAGCGACCTCGCTGGTTCAGCAAGAACCTCATGCAGAGGACTACCACGCCGGTTGCCACAGAAACAGCTCCCGTCAAGCCCTCCGATCTCGGTTGAGCTATTCCTTGGTCGTGAATACTCCATGCCTGAGAACATCTGGTGAACTCTGTACCCATGTGAGCTGGTGTGTCTGATTTGTTGGGCCAGGAGCGTTCTGACCATTTTTTCTTCCCCAGGAGAAATTTAACAGAATGTGTTCACAACTGTTGGATAGTTGACTACGGTCATCTCAGAACCCCAGGCGGTGTATGTAATGTGCGACGGAATGATGTGTTTTTGCTTTTTGAATGGGAGAATGGTAGTGTTGTGAAATCAATGCAGATGATTTGTCAAGTGAGAGTTTTGAGGCTACAGTAATGACCTGTTGAAGTGGGCGAAAAAGTGTTCACGGTCTTCTAATACAGGTTGTGGAGTGGAATATCCATGAACTTTTTTGATTATTGGTCTTGTATATCGAAATCGGTGATGGTCGCATTTTATTCGGCAATTGATGGAAAACTGGTCCAAATCGGTAACTGTTTATTCGAATAGCATAAAAGTGCTTTGGGGAATGATCCTTGTATCACATGCTTAGCTTCATCAGTATTTATGCTGCTGAGCACCGGTTGATGGGCCATCTGCTATGTGGGCCACCTGCACGAACTTAATGTGTATTTTTAGGTACATATAATTAACCCCCTACAACTACAACATGATTCATACTTCCTTTAATTAAGTTCCAATCAATGGATCAATTCGAAGCGTATGGTCATTGTCCTAATTTGATAAACGGTTCGATTCATTTCATACATTTGTGCCCGACAAAGTTTCGGATATAAAACCATCGCATAGCAAACAGATCCACCAGCGAACAACGCTTAAAACAACATAGATTGTCAGCGTGAAGCTCAGCTTTCAAAAAGGGTCTACGAGCTGCACCTCTGACAGCTTAATTAATGAAAAGCCGCGGTCTACGCTTTCTGCGGCGAAGGCTGACCTAGTACTCCTCTTCATCGCCCTCGGCTTCGACCGAGTCAACTCCGACCTCCTCGTAATCCTTCTCCAACGCGGCCAGATCCTCGCGAGCCTCGGAGAACTCGCCCTCCTCCATGCCCTCGCCGACGTACCAGTGCACGAAGGCGCGTTTGGCGTACATCAGGTCGAACTTGTGGTCCAGGCGCGCCCAGGCCTCGGCGATGGCGGTGGTGTTGGACAGCATGCAGACGGCGCGCTGCACCTTGGCCAGGTCGCCTCCGGGCACCACGGTCGGCGGCTGGTAGTTGATGCCCACCTTGAAGCCGGTCGGGCACCAGTCGACGAACTGGATGGCCCTCTTGGTTTTGATGGCTGCGATGGCCGCGTTAACATCCTTGGGGACGACGTCTCCACGATACAGCATGCAGCACGCCATGTATTTGCCGTGGCGTGGGTCACACTTGACCATCTGGTTGGCGGGGTCGAAACAAGCGTTGGTGATCTCGCCGACCGAGAGCTGCTCGTGGTAGGCCTTCTCCGCCGAGATGACCGGAGCATATGTGGCAAGAGGGAAGTGGATACGGGGGTAGGGCACCAAGTTGGTCTGGAACTCGGTCAGGTCTACGTTCAGGGCGCCGTCGAAGCGCAGCGAGGCCGTGATGGAGGAGACGATCTGGCCGATAAGTCGGTTCAGGTTGGTGTATGACGGACGCTCGATGTCGAGGTTGCGGCGGCAGATGTCGTAGATGGCCTCGTTGTCAACCATAAAGGCGCAGTCCGAGTGCTCCAAGGTGGTGTGGGTGGTCAAGATGGAGTTGTACGGCTCTACCACGGCCGTGGCGATTTGAGGCGCCGGGTAAATGGCAAACTCCAGCTTTGACTTCTTGCCGTAGTCGACGCTGAGACGCTCCATCAGCAGCGAGGTGAAGCCGGAGCCGGTGCCGCCGCCGAACGAGTGGAAGATCAGGAAACCCTGCAGGCCTGTGAAATGGGAGAACATTATTACCGAAGCGCCCATTGGTCACGAACGATGTGATGAAGTGACCTGACCAGCATGGGCGGACATCGTGTTGCAGTCAAGTTTGGTGTTGGGAAAATGGCATGGACTGTGGGGTTGATAAACTTATTCGTTTAGCCCATCATCTCTGTAACACGCACACCGCATAATTGTAAATCAATGCTAAACTTTCAGCTGTCAAATCCACCCCACCGTAAGTCCCCGCACCTGTGCACTGGTCTGCCAGCTTCCTGATCCTCTCGAGCACGATGTCCACGATCTCCTTGCCGATGGTGTAGTGGCCACGCGCGTAGTTGTTGGCCGCGTCCTCCTTGCCAGTGATGAGCTGCTCCGGATGGAACAGCTGCCGATAGGTGCCCGTACGGACCTCATCTGCCGTACAGGAGAAAGCGAGGTTAAATATAACCGAAATCGGGCTCAGCAAGAGACGCTGTTCTTATCACTGGTAGACGTGCAGAATCTGAATGCTGCTACCTACGCAGCCCGACACTGGCTAGAGCACGTTCTACTTCTAAACCGTACTCCAGGATTTATCCTTGATCTTTGTTGTTAAATATTAGTTATGATGAGCCAAGACATGACGTTTTTGGCTTTCCGCGTACCCAGGAGTCAATCTGTTGTGCTCCCTTTGCTCTGGCAATCCGCAATTTATTTACATTTGCCACATCGGCACCGTCATTACGAACCGATGACGGAAGGCTCTAGGTCGACGAACACCGCTCGCGGCACGTGCTTGCCGGAGCCGGTCTCCGCGAAGAAGGTGTTGAAGCTGTCGTCGCCGCCTCCGATGGTCTTGTCGGAGGGCATCTGGCCGTCGGGCTGGATGCCGTGCTCGAGGCAGTAGAGCTCCCAGCAGGCGTTGCCCATCTGGCAACCGGCCTGGCCCACGTGCACCGAGATACATTCGCGCTGCAGGAGGAGACGAGAACGGTTAGCGCGGGGCTGAAAAGGCGTGGCCTGCTCGCGGCAACAGGTGCTACCATTGCGTGAGCGGATGCTATTTTGTGCGTTCTGCTCAACTCACGCGCTTTCATAACCAATTACTACTACGGAAACAGTTAACTGCTTCCTAACAGGACGGAACCAGTGCATTATCACGAATGTCTCGAGGGATGTGCACTGCAGAGATCTCATCCCCTCCCTCCAAAACTCGAGTCCCAGATCGCACCGCAGGCACTGTGACCCGGTGGAAGGGAACGGGCCGGGGGGAGTGGGGGGGGAGGGCAGACCGCGCCCAGCGGCGATCAGCTGATGGCTCCAGTCGGGCGGTATTGATCCGCACAGGGGCGCTGACTCACGCCAACTGGACGGCGGTCGATGCCGGCCGACGGCACCGCCAGACAGTACACACTGCAAACCCGACATTACCGGTCCTCGGTGTCCGGCACTGGGTTGCGCTCCATGTAACGGGACCTGGCTTCCTCGCCATATAACGAGCTGCTTGGCTATCTATCGGTCACATCTTACGGTGCAACACAACCGTCCTAGATCCTCATTCCTATATGCCATCCTTGATTACATTGGTCTGTCGAGGACTGATGGTCGCCCCACCATACAACCGCTGAATGGCTGCTCCAGTGGAGGCATACCTACTACTCTTCCTGGCTGGCCACCTGGGTGCCTGCCATGCCAAGGGGCCCCCTTTATCCCAACAGCAGGGTGGTCAAAGCCGCTGAGGTGCACCGGTGCATCAATCGGTGTACAATTAGGTACATTGTACACTTGACAGCTCATCCCCGTGTTTCCGACCATCCATGTTATTCTCTCATCAGTCACGATCCTGAAGCGATTTCCATAGATCGAAAAGGTCTAATTCCGCAAAAAAAGGCAACGAATTTGTCGGTTTTGCTAGGCCCGCTGTGCGTTCTACACAGCTAGCTGTACCAGCCCCATGGTTCAAAACACAATGGCATTTGCCCATCCCATCGCACGGCACATGCTATTTAGATTACTTAAGCCCTTGTTACACTGCCGAATTTTGGTACACGAATGTGCACGAATATGCAAGTCATCCTATGTCGTGGACCGATTCGGGATCTTTCTTCCACGGTCTTGGCATTTCGCAGACCAGTCGGTGCCCACCGCGCGACTTTTACGGTTCGTCACGACCGCCACGAATATTTCATGAAAAATGAAAATTTCGTGGCCGTTCGCCGAACTAATAATAAACGAACATGATCGCCAAACACTCGCCGAGTCGCCGCCGACATGTCGCTACGTGCGCCGACTTGTTGCCAAGGTATCGGCGACTATTCGCAACAGATTCGCCATTCATTCGCGATGTTCGCCGAATCATGGATCAGCTTCGACCTGCGCACGATTAGGGGGGCCCCCACCCGTTGTCTGCAAATCGGGCTCTGTCGGCGAACTGTTCGCCTCTGTCGGTGAACTGTTCGCCGATTTCCTACACGACGTGATTCGGCGACAGGGTCGTGGCCAAAATTCGGCAGTGTAACACGGCCTTTACCGGTCCAGTGGTGAGCAAACTGCATGATCATCGATCAATGATTACGATCACCTGCGCGTTACAAGGTCACATAGGTCCTGTACCTGTAGCACCAATGGCTAACCAGAAAGTTAAATTCATCCCTTTATACGTACGTTTGTTTTGTAGCCCATCCTCTCTCGATCGGAACTCAGCTATGGGACTCGAAGCACCCCCAATGGTGACAGTTCCAGGCTCTCTCGTCAACTGACCAGTGGCTATACCCGCACGGCCGCACCCACGTGTGGGCCCGGGACGTGTGTTCAGTATCGACTGCTGTGATATACCGTTAAATCTGTATGAGCTCCGGCCCGTACGAATCTCACGATACCTGGGCACTGTCCACCAACAAATCACACGCACAGGCTAAAAACGGATGGGGAACGACCAAAGGAATCGCTTTTGTTGACCCACGTAGGCTTTGGGTTATGTTTTATTTAACCACCAATCAATGCATGTCAAATGACAAATGGCACAAAAAGTTTTTAGGAGAAATAGATTGTCGCTAGAGCTATCCGCTTATTAGAGTGATTTGGTAAGACTGCAGCCTGCACCCTGCACCAAGAAGCAAACTCTACTGGGCTTACTCTTAGACGTCAGCTCTGTAAAACCGGAAGGCATGTATTTATTCGCCACGGTGTTACATCGACACCTTTTTTAAACCCCACATCTGCTCTCTCGTGAATTTCCGGGAGGCACGAAAGATCTCCTTTTAAAAGTGTCCAATCGTCCGATCCTGATCAAATATGTGTGTTCGTAGGCCTGTTCTGGTATTGCTTTATCTGCCAAGACAGACAAACTTGAGAAAAATCGAGTGATTGTACCTTTTTTGAAGGTCTCTAACTAACTTGTCTGAAATTCACCGGAGAACAAATGTGGGGTTTAAAAAAAAGGTGTCGACATATGTCCCGTTCGATATATTTTCAATAGTTTTCAAACAGTTCGCCCTATTGAGGTGGAAAGCCTTATTATAAACCTTCGCCGGGCCAAAACATTCAATCAAGGGACATCAGCTAGATCCTTCAGTCCTATTGAATTTGTGGGAAAGTGAAGATCTTCGAAGAAAATCAAGTTCGAGTATGTCTCCAGCGTTTTCTGTCCCTCAGCTCAACGGTACCTACAGTTGAGAAAGAATAAAAGCGGTGGTGTCATGGGAGTGTAAGAAAGTTTGACACTTTGAAATTTCCACCGCACCGTACTGGGTGGGGATGGGGGTGGGCCGTGGGGGGTCAATTTTTTATCAAGTGTCTTAACCATGGGCGTCGCCACCACTACGGACACTACGGACAGTGTCCGTACAAGTTTTGGAAGGTCCCAAAACTTGTACGGAATGTCCGTACAAGTTTTGACGACCGAAAGTGAGCTTTTTGCATCATGTTCAAATTACAAATGCCGTAAAAGCATTATCAATATTGCTATTTTTCTTGAAAGTATTCAGGATGTTTAAGTCTTGACAAGGAAGGAAGCAGTCTTTATCACATTTCTTCGATGCACATCGACCACCTCAATGACTTGTTCTCTTTCAGTATGCATTTGTAGATTAGGTGCCGATCGATTCCAGATGATCGCACAAGCTTGAAAGAATTCGCCTAACACTGCGGAGCAGTTGGCAGGGGACCTCCCCCTAGCCCTGGCAAAGGATACGGCAAAGGATGCCTTGTTGAGCAGCAAAGGATACGGAAGGGCAAAATCAGCAGACTGAAACTGACTAGACCGGGTCGAACCGAACTGAACAGAGTAGGGTGAGGGTAAATGGCAGGGATGTAAAAATCGAAGACAGGCCGGCGTTGCTAGGGAGAAAGGAGAATGAAGGGCATATAAGGATGGTTTTGAAGATCATGGACCACTCACTCGTCAGGAAAAGAAGGGCACGACAGGCAAGGGCATTGACGAATGGGAAGGGACTACCTACCTAGCTGGGGCATCAGACAGAGAAGGCGCTGGGTTGGGCGGGGCACGGGAATCGACAGGGCGAAGGACAGGACAAAGATCAGGTAGGGATGGTAGAATAGGGTAGGAGATATGCAGGGGATATAGGACATGGCATATGCAGGACAGGAAGCAGACAAAACCAGGCACAGGCAAGAGAATGCACAGGATAGAGCAGATGCAGAAATGTCCAACACTGGGCACAGGGAATGACGGTAGGTATAAAGTACGAGACAGAGCACGCCTTTGCCATGGACAACAGGACAGGGGACAGCGCGGGGCACATGGAACAGAGCACAGGAAGGACATCTACACAGGGAAGGACAGAGCTCAGATAGGCAAGGACTCAGTAATACAAGGGCCTGTGAGAAAGAAGACTATGTCCTTCAATATGGCCATGTGAAGAGATCAAATATCGCTCTAATGTGGGTCCCACAAATGTCACATTCATGCTAATCAGAAACAAGTCTAGGTATCATTATATGGAGAACACAAATGTTTTCCATCGAGCGGGCCCAAGCGACGATGGGGCGATATTCTAATACGGGGAAACCGTAATTGGAAAGAATGAAGAAAAAACCGAAAGTGCTACTGACGTTAGTGAAAATGTTGTTCGTGTTGTTGTTCATGATGAGCACAAAGTTTGAAACTTCGAGTTAGAACTGTCAACTGACTGGGCTCAGCGATCGCTGGCCCGACGTTCTCCAAGGCATGTCCTGGAGCCCTCAGAGGTCGACGCAGGCTCTCAGAGTCAGGTGGGGCCCTCAAAATTCTACTAGGGACCCTTAGAGGCCGGACTGAGGCCCTCAGAGGCACATGCAAGACTAGGCACTCATAAGCAATGGGTCCTTTCGAGGCAGGTTTGGGCTCCGTCCCGTGAGCTGGAATGGGGCATCAAGAACTGCATGGGAGTTAGAGAGCTCAGCTGCGTTGGACCCCTAAAAGTCGGCGTGGGCTCCTAAAGATCGCCTGGAAGCTCGAAATATCTGTGTAGCGGTCTTCAAAGGTTTATATAGGCCCGCCCCTCGGTAGCCAGGGAGGGCCCTCAGAGGCCAACGTAGACTCGCAGGAGCTAACGCTGAATGTAAGGGCCTGAAGTCATTCAAAACGCCCAGTCATTAGGAAATAGACGTTTTTTTTCTTCTTTTTGATGCGTCCATGACTCCATAGTTCAAGGAGCGCTTGCATATTTGTTTGCGATATGTGGATGTAGGAGGTGTCTGCAAAAAGATATGTTTGATTCTCAGGTATTCTGGATTGGGATGCTAGAACACATCCCCTACCCTATTATACGAGATATACACGAGTGCTTATCTACCTGCTCAAGCAGGTAGTTCTTTCCTCATTCTACTGCATTTCGATAATAGACAATTTACTCGTTACGTGAGAAGTGTCCCATTCATGATTCAAATTTGATTTAGGCTGTTCAAATTCAAATTTGATCTCTCGTTGAATACACCATGCAAAACGCATAACGTTTGGTACACTGTAGTGAGATAACAGTAGGTATTGTTCATGGGGTTAACACTTCTGACGAATGAGACGACCGACATAATGTGTCCGTACAAGTTGGGGAGCCGTGGCGACGCCCCTGGTCTTAACGTCGGTGGCTCTCCGCGCCGCCGTTTTTTTTTTTTTTTGCCACACTTTATACATCTTTTCTGCCATGTTCTGAAAATTTAAGACCCAAATAAATGTCGTGTTAGTTACCTATAGAGTCAAAAGTTATTGCCGTAAAATATTTTCCGCTAAAAACGTCAGCTTTCAGAGTTTTTGCCTTCTGGAGGCTAAACCGTTTACCTTAGGTCAAATCTGAGGACGCACACCAGAAAGAACGTTAGAATAGCTATCGAATCCGCTTTTCCTCGGCGCTGTAGCTCTATATTCATTCCAGAGTTATGCGCCACTTTGTCGAAAATTGTCGAAATAGGCGAGATTTGACCTTTGATGAACTCTGGTGACATGACCTCAAAAATTACTTAAGTGCCCTTTTCATCATTTTTACGCCCTTTCGAATGGCGCTTACTGCGTGTCGCTGCGCGGCCCAGAAATCGAGTTATGACGAAGCCCGAGGGACGTGAAAATGCCCCTTCTCTCCCCTCCCCCCCCCACACCACCACTCCATGTAAAATTCAGACCACTAGCACGGCGCGGGTTGGAATGTCCCTGAAAATCTTACAGAAAAGTTGGATGAAGAGCTTTATGCATCGGCGACCAGCACATTGAACGTTTGATGTCTGGGTAGGTATGCTGTGCCGCTTAACACCATCCTGGGATGGTATACTGTCCCGCATGGCATACAGCTGCACGGCCTACACTTGTACGGCTACAGCTGCACTTCACGGTTAAATGTTAACGGGATCTTTATCCCTCGACTCTGGACATTGGATTCAGCTGCCGAATCGATGCATGATTATTTTACAGACAATGTCTGTAGACATCGCGCTTTACGTTCAAGTATTCTTGCTTTAAAGGTGAACTTTTTTGTTGATTTTTGTCGCTGATCATTTTTTCATGTTCTACTTTCACATCATACCTAACTACATGTGACGTGCAGCGCAGCAGCTCACAATGATCGTATTGTCCCGTTGATGTTACGTGCTAAGCTCTTTGCTGAAATCGTATAGTGTTATTTGATCTAGGTACATACACAGTTTGGTCAGATGCTCCAAAAGCCAAGACGTCTGGATAAAAAAAAAATAAGCCATACATGTAATTGGTGCATAATACATGCACGGGAAGCGCTCCAAACGGTAAACGTGCAATCGTTTCTTGCCGGTGCCACGTCCACATTTAGGTAAATATCAAGTATAAATGTTCCCGGTTATAGACACTACGACCATGCGACGCCATTGAGCCATCAAAACCTTGTGAATAATCAAACTCACAGAAGCAAAAGGTTGACAATTTCTTCCCTCATCCTAAACGGGCCAGCTGCCACGGTTCATCGATTATTCGCCAGCAGATGCGTTGCGCGCTCGCGACTGCCATCCGGCATCCAGAGCCAATAAAGACAATATTTGTCTGTTTCAACAGCCAAGCAAGGCCTCGTTTCATAAAGCGATTCCTTAACTTACGGCGGTTTTTGATCTTGTATTGCAAGTGCATGTGAAGCGATGACGTTAGTTTGAACCGTTGAATTTATTCATCTTGCAAGCAAGAACAGAAGGGAGACGGGGAAATAAATTTATCGCTTCACATGCACTTGAAATACAAGACCAAAAACCGGCGTAAGTTACGGACTCGCTTTATGAAACGAGGCTCAAGTCATCACACGCCTCCCCTGCACCCCTCAACCACGTCTAACCCCGCCTCTCTCCCCCAGCCCCCAATCACTCACCATTGTTGCGTCTAGGGGAAATCTCACGCCTGTCTAGCGACGAAGAACTGGTGAGGTGGGGCTCGCTACCGACGGGCTCCCCTATATCACCTCGGACGGTGACGTCACGTTTGTGGGCGGGGCCTGTCGGCTGCGTCGGAGGGCGTGGCCCAGCCGACGACCGCGACGGAGCTGGACAGGCCGCATTCGGCAGACCAGACGTGTTATGACTGGTTTGCTGTCATGGTAACACTTTATGGAATGTGGGTGGAATTGATAACTGCTCGGCACGATGACTCATTTTTATCTTTAAGTTCTCTGATCTTCGAGCTTCCACAAGAATTGAATCGTCTCACTCAGATGCCACCATTAATAGGTAAAGCCTTTTTAGGCACCAAGACCGCATGTTACGGAAAGACGAATTATGCGATAAGCAATAAGCATTGACAAGATAAGCAATAAGCATTATATACCTAACGCACTTATAGCTGTCCAGTAGCCAGTAGGTAATGTGTGAAATGGAATTAACTGAAATGTATGCGGTCATCGTGTTTACCCATTGCGGTTATCCGGAGTGCCGCCGCGTTGGATAAACCTCGTGCAAAACGCCATACCTCAGTGGTAAAAAGCTGGTTCAGTTCAATGGTTATCAAGTATATTCAACACCAACTATAAACACACGTCATCTAAACGCTCTTTTGACTAAGCCTTCGCCTTCGCGCCCTTCTTTGCCTTCTTTCCGGACCCTCCTGCAGCCTTCTTTGCCGCCGCAGCGGCTTTCTTTGCTGCTGCTGTGTCAGCGGCTGTCGCGGCTCCCTTCTTGGCGGCCTTCTTCCCGCGTGCCTGAGGCGCCTCCTCCTCGTAGTCTTCGTCCGAGTCCTCCATGTCGTCTTCCTCGTCGTCCATCTCATCGTCCTCGTCTTCTGTGCCGTTCTGGGAAACGGTGGAAAACGTCAGTGGTGAGATACTCGATTAGTCTGTAGTGCTGTTCAGATACAAACCGGAAAAAATGTGACAAAGTTAAGATAAAATAACATCCGCATATTAACCCTGAAATAAATATAATGGGGCGCTCAAGACTTTACAAGTGTTCTGTTCAGTGTTGATTTACATCGGTGTAATTCATATTACCCATGTGAACAATCGCACTTCATCCTATTTAATCTGAAAAAATCAGAGTGCAAGTACTCCTGTCATGACTATCCATGAAATTATCGATGCGATTTACACGTCACGTAGTGTCATACCTTCAACAATCCCTATGCAAAGGTATCACCTAGCCGATTCGAATCGGCACACAAGAGTGAAGTGTGCAGTGGTCTCTACCTTTGCCTCTACCTTGGACCGCTTGGCCTTGTTGCTGTTGGCAGCTTTGCCGTTTGTCTCGGGCTTTTTCCGCTTCTTGGTGTCAATCTAAAACAGAAAAAATATCCCAACACTAAGCGCTGGCGTGCGCTCATGCATGGGAAAATATCAAACCAGATAAAAAAAAAAACAGTGTGCTTGCGATCAAAAGCACTGAGGAGACAGGCCATCGAGCAACTAAATTATGCATTTTGCCTCAGAGGTTTTCCAACAAGCTTATGTTAGCAATCCGCCATTTTATCAGCTGAAGGGTTTGATTTGAGTACCCGTGATAAGACCTTATACTCATTGGATGACATTCGCCCGAGAGCGGAGACAAGCCGATGTATAATCTGTTTCAGTGATGAGCACTGCAGGTCCAATGCATTGCTAATCCAAAGCGATCTATTTCTCACGTTTTTCAGGGCATCGAAAGCCGTTTTAAAAGTTTTTTTTACTTTGAAGCCTTACATATACGGCAGCTCTCAATTCTTGACACACATGGTGGTGGAATGTGAGCAACATCACGAGCCGCCAGCCGGCTCGATAAAGATGGATAGGGCAAATAAAGATGGAATTCCAGTCTGCGGCGTACCTTCTGTACGGGCGGCTCGACGACGAGCTCCTCCTCTGCCGCCTCGTCCAGCTCGCCTTCCTCCTCCTCTCCCGCCTCCTCGTCCGGGTCAATGTCCCGGTCTGTGGGCGACGGGACAGGTCACGCGACGTTACAGAGCCCTATAGGTAGAACAATTCGTAGATCACTTCCCTAGCGCGTGGGTCTGGACAGAATAGGGTCATAACAAAAAAGGGGGCAACTTATGCTGGACAGACTACTTTGAATGTGCCGCTGCATATATGTTGATGGTTCCCAGCAGAATAATAGTGCCGTTTACGAATTTTGCAGGAAAGCAAGGAGCTGAAGCGGCTGTGACAAAGGCAGATAGCACCGAGGGCACTCATGCACTAGAAATTTCAGCACTAGCAGCTAGAGGTACGGTTGTGTTGTGCTTCCTGTGCGGCTCGACAAGCACTCTTCTGGCATAAAAAATGTCTAGAATAAAAGTGATGTATAAAACGTCTTACCGACATACTCCTTTCCGATTAAATGGACGGGTCCCTCGCCCCTCTTCAGTCTGATAGTGGCGGGCACCTGGGGAAGCTCGACTTTGAGCAGCGACTGGTAGATGGAGCCGCCGACCAGCACGGCTATCGTGACGGCCACGTCGGCCTCCCGGGAGTCCTTGGTAGACACCTCAATCTCCTGACGGAACAGATATAACAGATGTCAAACTGCGGATTATGTAGGGGAAGTTGGGGCAATGCCGGAGTTGGGGCAAAGCCGAAATTCGAGATATTTCTAAAACCGTACGACATGGATGCCACGTCTCAGTGATGCTCTGAAGCTTAAGTGACTACAATTATCGCATGTTTGTTACGAGTCGTCATTTGGAATACTTCGGCTGTGAGGGCGCCAAAAGCGTTTTCAAGGTACGTTTCCCCTGTACTACATGCGCCTTTGAAGCCACATTTCTTACTCATTATGCTACCGTTTGTCTGGCCAATTCGGTCAAGTAATCTTCAGCATGTCTTTGCATAAGTGTGCTGCCTATTTGAAATTTATACAGCAAGTTTAAAAGTTATGGGCCTGCAAATGAAAGTATGGCTGGCTGGGGTAATGCCGAAAACGTGCAATTACGCACGTTAAAGCACGCTACGTGGACTTTACTGCTGTAGAATAGCAACGCGTATTTTTAGTCAAACAAATTACACTTTCAGCCGGCACAACGGCCTGTTACCTATAAGGAATGATTTACCTACCTGGCATTTTCTTATTATATCACACAATTATAGCTTCAAGTGTGCACCAAGCGTCCTCAAGCTCTTAAAACGCGTGTCAGCTTTGATGAATTTTGGATAAAGTTTGAGATAAATTGGCAAAACATCAATGTCGGCATTCCTCGTAGATCATTTATCCCATTTTCGGCTTTCCCCGCAGTCCGGGGCAACCCCGAAAAAGCCAGCTCTTTGACATTTTTAGTTTTTGCGCTTAACGGTATGCGAATTCATCAAATGCGCCTGGTATGTTTGAAAGACAAAAGACTGGCCTCTCGAATGACGCCAACAAGAATAGCTTATGTTGTCTACCTTGCGTGCTACAGGCGTCAGAAAAAAAGTATTCGGCGTTCCCCCAACTTCCCCTACTGACCAGCAGGGCGTGCTATTTGTTATCACGATGAATGACCCTACGCCCCTCCCGCAGTCACTACCATTTTTTTTTTATGGAGCTGATTACTGATCAGATTCCATTTTGCCGCGAGCCGAGAGTGTTTGATGGCCGTTGGAATAAGCCATGGGCCTTGCGCAATACGCATGATTTCCAGGTCCATGTGGCTATTCTGATAGTCCCAATCGATCCCGGCCGGCCTCCGTACCTGCACCTCGCCCTGCTTGGCGTCCGGGCTGAGCACGGCCATGGTCAGCTCCAGCGTCTTGTGGTGGTCCTCGTCCTCCTTGAGGTCGACGCTGTCGCAGCTCTCGTCCACCTCGGAGAACGTCGGCAGCCATCGGTACTCTGAGGTCTCCTTGGAGAGCACGGTGCCTGCCAAAGACGCACGGTGATCAGATGGGAGATGGTGCAGTTAGGATAGTAGATAGCGCGTTTGTTGTCATCAGGCCTAGGCATAGCCCCTCTCATCCCATAAACACTTTGTTTCTAAATGATTTATGTATAAAAAGCACAAACACGAGCGTTTTGCCCCAAATGAAGGGCAGCAAATGTTAGCTCATTCAAAAATCCCCGGTGGTTAATGTGCGATTAGCCCATTAAACCAATCAAAAAACTAAGCTAAAATGTTGAATTATAGAAAAATAGTTTGACCACAAAGCTTCTCATTTTCGCCCAATAACCTTGGTATTTTTTCAAAAAAATAGTCCCGCATATTTTTGGTCATTACATATGCAGCGCTCAGCCCCATAAAATGTCTTGTCCACGCTTCACTAGAGGGGGGAGATCTCTATAGTGCCAGAGCCCCTTGTTTTTCATCTTTCTATATGACCTGGCGTATCGGCACGAGACTCTGAACATTCGGTCGCATCAATTTTACTTAACTTTAATGCAAAACCAAATTTCGTGGTTTAAAATTTCGTAGTTCAAGTTAAAGGTAGTGTGCCAGCTTTCCTGGACCGTATAGAGTTAATGGCCCAGATAAGGAGAACCGGATTTTTAGAACTTATCCATACCTTCAAAACTCATGGAAACGTCTTAAATTCTTCAAATTTTGAGTACCCCAGTGCGAAATTCGCCCCGACGGGTTGTCGGTCGTACCCCAACCACATTTCACACCACTATGAACAATAAATGCACACACTGAAATCGCTATTACCGATAGGCTCATCCAATCAAGTTTCGATAAACCCGTTCATCATCTCCTGCGGTTTCGAACACGCCTGTTAGGTGGTGCGGTAGACCGCGACCAAAGCCAGGGCCCCGGTAACGTGAGGTAGCCGAGTCGGGGAAGCGTGCGCTGACCCAAGCCGGGGCCGCGCATCCTCCCGGTGTCATGTGATAGCCCGGGGCTGCCCTCGGGGATGCGGTAGACCGCGCCCAAAGCCGCGGCCCCGGCTTGGGTCAGCGCACGCTGCCCCGACTCGGCTACCTCACGTTACCGGGGCCCTGGCTTTGGGCGCGGTGGTGGTGCGTCGGGCCGCGCGCTCTGACTTCGGCCAAGAAAAATGCGTCAGCTGATCACACTGGCGGATCCAGGGGGGGGGGCATTAGGGGCATATGCCCCCCCCCCCGACAGGAGCCTGGGGAGGGCATTCAGTACAAGTATGCCCCCCCCCCCGTTCAGACTTACACTTCTTACGCGTATAACGAGGAACCAAATAAAAACGGATTAGAAAGCCTTCCTAGTAACTACTTTTGTGATCAGAGTCGTTTTAGTAACCTTAATTTAGTTGTCATTGCTTTATTTTGTCTAAAAGTACCTATGTTGCTTCTTAGTTCTTACCACAGGGGAGTCATGCCGCTTCAACCCTTTTGACCGTATTGTCTAACGATGGCATGCTCATATTGCGCAAACCAGGAATCGGCCGCCGCCTATGATAGGGAATAGGGACGGTTAGAATATGATTTACCTGTATGGCCGCAGGCAGTGCAGCGTAACCGGGGGAGGGGGGCACAAGGGGCGCGTGCCGCCTCATTAGATGCATGGTGCCCTATGGGCCCGAGAGGCCCTGCAGTGCCAATTGGCCGCTCAGGGTCCAAGCGCGCCTTATTTCGACTGAGATAAGACCCGCAGGACTCGTGAGAGCACCTCACGGAGTCACGGGCTCCTGAGTCGCCACACATCGAAAATCTCCATAAGGGCCCCACTCCGGCCTCTGAGGGCCCTGTGCTGGCCTCTGAGTGACCTTGCTGACCTATTAAGCGTCAGCTCTAATTAGGATCCTGGCCCATACCCGCATGGAACGGCTCCACACCAGTGTCTCTGAGGGCCCATAACGGCGCCTGTGAGGGTCTCACACCGGCGCCTTTGAGGGCCCAACACTGCCAATCTGAGGGACTAACACCAATATTTCTTAAGGCCCTACATCGGCGGCGGCTCTGAGGGCCCCACACTGGCGCCTCTGAAGGTCTTACACAGGCGCATCCGACGGCTACCTACCTGCAACTCTGTGGGCCCCACACTGGTGACTCAGAGGGCTCCCAGTGACGCCTGAGAGTACCACGCCGGTCTCCAGGAGCCCACAGGTCTCCTGAAGGCCTCTGCTGGCCCTTGCTGGTCTCTTGAAGACCACTTGCCCCATGCATGTGTCTCTGAGGAGTGAGGACTCTCACAACGATGCCTTTGAAAGTCTTCACCGGCGACTGTGAGGGCACCACACAGACACGTCTGAGGGCCCTACACCGCCACCTCTGACACACCAGTGTCTCCTGAGGTCCCACATCGGCGACTCTGAGGGTCCCACACCGGCGCCTCTGGGGCCCCACACCAGTGCCTCTGGCAGTCAGCCACCGGTAACTCTGTAGGTCCTACACCGGTGACTCTGAGGGCCCCACCGGCGTCTGAGAGTACCATGCCGATCTCTAAGGACTCCACAGGGCTCCTGAAGATACTGCCGGCGATCACTTGCCGGCCTATGAAGGCCCATTATTGGCATCATACGGCCCGTTACCGGCCTCTGAGGGCCCTTTGTCGGTCTCTGAGAGGTCCTACTGGGTTATTAAGCATTCGCATTTCGCACCAACAACTCCAAGGGCCCCACACACAACCATCTGTGAATGGTGTGGGCTTAGCGCCACACCAGTGTCTGAGGCACCACAACGGCGTCCATGTGAGGGCCTCACACCAGCACCTTAGAGGGCCCACACCCGCTCCTTTGTGGTTCCTGCACTAGTGCCTCTGAGAGCCCCACACCACTGCCTCTGGGGAACCCACACCGATACCTTTGATGGTCCCACGCCAGTACCTCTTAACCCGCGCCCCACTGGGGGGGGGGCTATTTATAGCCCCCCCCCTCCCGTTTTTCTGCAATAACTTCCAAACCGCTTGATGTATCGACGCCAAACTTTCAGTACCTTCGGCTGCATCAATTTGCCACCTTGTGTCAAAATTTGAACTTCGTACCTACCATAGGTCGGCCGTAAATGACGTCAGAGTGACGTCATGTTCGGCCGATTTCGACGCAAAACATTGAACCGCGGCAATCGCTCCCAAGAGCTCAGTTTTTAAGCTAGATCCAATTTCTTTGCATGAAAGGACTCAGAATAGACTGCGCTATCAAACTGCTATCTCGGATTTTCAAAATTTTAAAAATTTCGACAATGTTATATAATAAAACTCAAAATTTATATTTTTACATTTTTTTCGAAAATTTTTTGACTATTCGAAAAAACCGGAATATATGTGATAGAACGCATTATTATGACTAACTCTAGCAAGTTTTAGTTAAATATCTTCAAAAATGGCCAAGTTATACGCATTATTGCAAAAAAAAACTAACAATTACTAATTTTTCAAATCAATTTTTGAGCATGAATTTGACATAGTACGCCAACACAAATAGCACCATCGTGTTCCTGAGCTCAAACTGCATCCAATAGACACCTTTTTTGTTGAAAAATTATAACTTCAAAATTTGACCTTTTTTGACCTGAAAGTGACCTGACCTGAGCTAAATTTGACTCAAAATGACCTTGAATGACACAGACGACATCAAATTCGAAATCTCTGACCTAAATGGACCATAAAACATGTGTCACGTGACCGATGGATGATATAATATTTTCGTGACCTGTGATGACCTGACCTTGACCTGAAGGTACCCTCAGAGTATCTAGAGCATCTGTTCACGAGTGTGTGAACCAAAAATGAGCCTGATCTGACTTTTAAGTCGGCGGCCAGAGCCCAAAACGTGAACAAGCCAAAATGCTAATAATTTTTACTTTGACCTGACCTGTGACGTCATCGGTGACCTTGAGGTCAATGAAATTAGGTTTCGCTCGACAGTTTTTCCGGGGCTATCAGACGCCGTTTGAATTTTGACGATCGGCCCAGTAGTTTCGGAGTTAGGAGGGGGGCTATGAATAGCCCCCCCCCCCCAGTAGGGCGTGTTATACGCAGACCCCAGTGGGGCGCGGGTTAAGGTTCCACACCGGCGGCCCCGGGTCGGCTCTATACACCAGTCATTCTGAGGGCCCCACCGGCCCCACCAATTTTCGTCGATTTCTGGCGCTGCCCTGGTGTTTGTCCCAAAAGCCTCCTCCTCCTGGATCTGCCAATGGGGGTCAGGTGTCCTAGCATTTGTTTTTTTTTTTAAGAAAAAAAAACTCGTGTCCGGGCTATGACGAAAAATAAGTGGCCTAAATCCGATGAGAAAACAGGATTTGGGGGTACCCTAGGTTTGGCTCCGTGACCTGGTATGCCCCCCCCCCGCGCTGACACCCTGGATCCGCCAGTGGCTGATCATTGTCATTTCTGCCACTTTCATGTGGTGAGATGGGGTCATAACTTTAGAGACGGCTGTTTCATATCAATTATTTTACATAAAATAATATTTCCAACCATAAATTAATGTTCGACAGCCAAATTAAAGAAACAATACCAATACAGGCTTACAGTTTAAAGTCGACATTGTGTTGTCTACGATTAGACAGCTGATAACTCATTCCCGTACGTCGTAGCTCTATAATGACCTTTGCTTATTGTCACATGTGCGCCGCATTCTTGATTGTTGCCGACGCCTGTTTGCAGGTCAGCCCACTACAGTTGTTATCATATCGAAAAACCGATAAACTTTTAGGCGAAAAAAGCACTATTTTAGGCCCATTTTTGTTTTGTTTTTGCGATATTAGGTAAAAGCAGAAGCTTCTTATCCTAGGAAAAATAAAATGGAAAATCATTCAAAGGTGGCACACTACCTTTAAAAATTTTGATAGGTCCGTTCGGTCGTAATGGATTGAATAGTCAAATATTCGTAATTCGTATAGGCACGCTGAAGGTCTATAAGTATTCAGTGTAATGAAAAATAAACAATACGAGGTCGTATGCATAGGTCTATAAGTAGTTTTTTTTTCAGGTCGGCCGGAATTGACGACAGAGTGATTTCATGTTCGGCCGATTTTGACGCAGAACATGGTTCTAGGAACATCTCGATAAACTGGCGCAGTAAATGACCTGAGGCTACAACCACAAAAAAAAATAGCTATGCCCATAACTCGCAACGCCCATAACGCTATGCGAAACAACGTTTTGTCTAAATACGATCCAACTATTTTTTATAGTGGATAACTGGCTGCATGTGTAGTAACAAATCACCTCATAACAGCTTAACTAAAAAGACGTTAACCTAAGAGTAAACGTAAAAGCAAGACGTAAACCATCAATACACTCACCAAAGAACCAGTCCTGCAGCATGTTTGCGGCGTTCACTCTCCAACCGGAGCGGCACCTGACCAGACGACTGCCGTCTGGAGCCCCCGGTCTGCTGGGAGGTCAGCTGTGCGTCACCTTTGACCTCCGGGAGAACGGCGGGCTGTGATTGGTCGGCAGAGCAGCCCGACTCACCGCCTCCGGTCATAGCACGGGAAGAGACGCAGTCAGCTGCGGGGCTGTTCATAAATATAACTACGCTTTTCAATGCGACACAGGGACAGATTTGCATAGAATGTAAACAACTTGAGTTAACATCGTCATGAACATTCAAATGTAATATTTCCATAAAGCATTATATGGACATGCTCGTTTATATATTCAAAGCACGTTTATCTGAGACTTTTTGATGCAATGAATTACGTAGCATCTTCCCTAACATTGTAAAAAGCACGGTCAGCAGAAGAACAAGATAAGTGCCATCATATCTTGCATTGACACGAAACCGTTATATCTGTTTCCGTTTTACTATCTATAGGAATATATTTCGCAAGTATATGGAACCATAGACCTCTGTACAAGTGTTGGTACATCTGCATCAGAGTTCTATGCTATAGATTTGGCACTGAAACATATAATAAGGTTCGATGTGTGCTTATTGAGCACATAATGACCACAAAGTAGAACATAAAACTCCATAGTCGGTTATCAACGCTTGAAAATGCCTTTTTAAGCACCTACCCATGAACAGCTGCCAGCAAAGACGTCAGAGATAATTATATTTTAACACAACAAACAAGCAATAAAACGATTTGTCTCATTCCTATAAACATTGCTGTAGTTCATGGTGAGGATTGCATGTCTATTTTCGGTGTCGTGGAGGCTTACCTATAAAGACGGCGTATACAAGGGGACGAAAACGCCCAGTCAATATGTGAGGACACGAACGGTCGACCGCGCTGTTGTCACGCCATCAACGTTACGTTTCTGTCTATATTCCGTCACGATGAGGTCAGTCTGAGGTCACACGGAGGTGACATGGTAAGTAGCAACTGCGGCTGTTCTCTGGTGAGTGCTCCTTGTGCTCATGAAATATATAAAATAGTCATAACTCATAATAAGTGTATAAGCCCGATGAAATCGGCGTTACTTATGACGAGCTCAGCTTGGCCAGAAGTCACGCAAGGGTATAACCACAAGCCTGGACGAACTCAACCGCAAGTGTCCACTTGAGTATTACTCGTATATGTATGTACACTGTGTTTTGTACGCCAATCAACGCCATCATAGTGTCAACTGTCACGTCTATAAAGTGTTGTTGATTGTCACACTGTCCGGGGCAAGTTATTTTGGGTGTGTGTATGGGCGTTCACACGTCATCGCATTCTGCACAAACAGACCCCGTATATCGGACGGTTGTTGGTTACTCGGTCGATTGCCATCCCTGGACACATGTTCCGACCCGCTACGTCACGTTACTAAGTCACGTCACTAAGGCATGTCACGTCACGTAGTTTGCGACCTATCCAGACCGTGAGGAGTAAGTAATCCCTATCAAGACACCCGCCGATCTCAGCCGCTCATCCTGACCTCGACCTTCCCTGGCCAGCTGAACACGCTCTATTGAACCCGATTGGCAAGCAGTGAGACCGGGCCGCCACGGAGTCCTGGCGACACAGAACAACAGAGCAGGGCCGGGCGGTACCGCGGCGGGGGCGGCGGCCGGCAGTGGTGACCCGGCCGGTCCGCCGACCGGGACGTGTCCGTGTCGTCGATCGTCCATCGATTGCGACTGCGCGACGTCGCGATGCCGGCCAGTGTCCGCGGCGCCGGCGGCAACAGGCGGAGACCCTGGACACCTCCCATCATCACCATCGCCGATACAGACGCAGAGAGGGACCTGGTCGACCTGTTTGGGGAGGGCGACTTTCGGACGGAGCTAGCAGACGGCGAGGAGCCGTCTCCGCCGCCGCTGCCACCCGAGGGCGATCAGTCATCGACAGCGACGAGTAACGGTAAATCTTCGTCGTCAGAAACTGGAAATTCGCGATTGCCGAAAATACCCACTACAGTGAAAGAAGAAAAAGAAGAGATGCTGCTTCACTCGGCCGCCGCTCCTCCTTCCGACCGACGCTGGGCCACCCGGCGGAAAACGGGCGTGCAACGCGTGGGCGCCGCCCGCACGCGCACGGCCACCGCCCCCGCCCAGGCTGCCGCCCCCGCCGCCGCCCCGGCGCGGCCCGGCGCCGGGCGTCGTGTCCGGGTGCGTCCCCACAGTCAGATGGCGTCCCCTAGGGAACGGGAGGCGGCGGCCGCGGCGCGTGCTAAGGATGACACCGCCGTGGGCTACGAGAGCGACTCGGCCTGGGATAGTGTGCCCAGCCGGTACAGCGACGCCAGTGGACAGTGGCGGGCACGCAGGGCCACCTTCTTCCGAAACGGCGACCCCTGGTTTCAGGGACTTCAGATGCGCTTCGTGCCTGGTCGGGACTTTGCCTCTCTGGAGGCCTTGTGTGCTAAAATATCGGACCGAATAGGTAAGTTGGCACTCTGGTATGGCTTTGATGGGATCAATTTTAACGGTAACTATCATGCCATATGTATAATAAGGGTTTTGGACGAGACGTTACATTTTACAGTACCTACATATGTCAACATTGAAACACAAGTACCCTATCTTACTGTTTAATTATTGCCCGGCACATGAACAACGAACACGCCATTTCCTTAGTTTTATGCTACATTGCGGTGCGCCCTGAACTAATCTGCTTATGCATGTGCTCGGGCAAGACAAGCGTTTGACTGTACTACCGTAAGAGGTCATGTAAAGCACACCCTAATTGTAGCTCGTAATTCGTATAACCGCTGGTTAGCCTAGCTTGTATTCCATAATCCATAGGTAGTGGAAATCAGGATGATGAGGATATATTTGAAAGTATCTAATTGGTGTCAAAACATCTTTAACATAAACAGAACACGATCCAAGGGAGGGAGAGAAAGAGAGAGAGAGAGAGAGAGAGAGAGAGAGAGAGAGAGAGAGAGAGAGAGAGAGAGAGAGAGAGAGAGAGAGAGAGAGAGAGAGAGAGAGAGAGAGAGAGAGAGAGAAAGAGAAAGAGAGAGAGAGATAGGGAGAGACGGACAGAAGACAGACAGACGACAGACAGACAGACAGACAGACAGACAGACAGATAGACTGACAGAACAAATCATAGCGTAATATAAATATTGTTATGCTGAACGACACTTTTCACCATAAGATTTCCAAGCTGCTAATGGACAAGGTCGTTACCAAGCCTCGGCTAATTCATTATCCTAAAATTCCTGGCCGCATTAAGTCGTTAGTTTGAGCCCTTGATTAGAGTTATAAAGCCATAAACTTAATTCCTGAGTGTCGCACGCCTTCGTAACACGAAAAGCGTGCATCAACTTCTTTGATGGCCTTGCCGTAGCTCTGGACGACGTAGATGATGATTAACTGTTCGTGAATTCGGTTTCCTAGATTTGATTTGTAGTGCCATTTGACAAAGTTTACCAGAAAAAGAAATAGCCAATAGCATTTCAATTTTCAAAGAATACGTACAAATTGTTAGCCCTGCAAATGAAAGATCAGTCGGAGTGTACCGGTCGGCAGTGCCGAAACAAAGTCGCCTCGAAAAATCATTCAGTCCTAATGGTTTTATGATTAAAATCTTGGCCTATATGTGACGCGGAATCTTGACCCTTTACGTGGCCTACACGTAGTTAGCAGTGGCCAAATTACGATCTGCTGTGGCTCGCAGAGTGGTGGGCATCCCTATCTTTTTTTTCTCTCTCTGACATCGGTGGCCGTTTTTTGCGTGATCAAGAATTTTGTGTCACATCACATGTGTTCTTGTTGTGCTTCATTAAGCCGGGCTATAACTTCTCTGATTCTAAATGTGTTTAGGTATGGTGGTGACAACAGGATTATCGGTTTTATATAGATAAGCTACAAAGGATGTTCCTTGAGTTTTTCCCATCATGTGACGCGCCTAAAAAAATTATCAATGAACCAACCACAGAATTGACAGGTTGTGCTTATTTTCAAACGGTATGCGCCGAGTAAACATGCTTCTGTTGCTGTGGCAACCACAATCGATGTTTGGGTCACAGCGACCTGTCAAACGACTTTAGCCGGAGCATGGCCATCCCACACGCAGGCAGGCAGGCGGGCAAGTAAACGGGCGATGAAATACATCGGTAATGACCACGGCCAGCAGGTGTCCCAGGCTGCAGGCGGGCACGGTATGTGAATAATTAATTGAATTCGAAAACGCCTGGGGTTGTATGGACTGTGACGGTAGTAGGTAGTCAATTCTCTGTGTTGAAGTAGGAATGGTGGCTAATGAAGTATTTACTAGATAATTCAGCATACCCGACAATATAGAAACTTCATGTCTCCAAGATCTTTCTGTTACATTTAGTCTGGCCTCTCGCTCCGTTTTCTGAAAAGCGTTATTAGGGGAGATCCGTTTAAGACGCCCAGGGTCGGTAAGAGGCCCCATCGCTTTTTTACCAAACCAAAAATGTTATTTATTTTTTAATGTTCTTGTAAAGCAGAAGCCCTCTTGAAACAACAACTCACGAAACCTGAGGTATCAGGTGCGTCACAACGACTTTTGGTAAGCCTGTTTCTGTTTTTGCCCCTTTACTTGCTAGATATATGCATCTTTATCACCCTTATATATCTGAAAAACAATGGCTATCAAATGCAATCTTATCTCATCGAAATTGTCATATTTTAGTTTCAGAATAGACCATGTTCTGGTGCGCTGCAAATGTCTCATAAACCATAAATATTGTGACGTTAAAACACTGCATTTTTTTTAAGAGGCCCTCCCTTCGAGGATGATAAAACGCCCCCCGATAAAAAACGCCCCCGATGCTAAAACGCCTGCACCTGCGGCAGGCGTGGCATTCTTTTTTCAAGGAGTTTGTTTTTGTTTCTTTTTTCTGTTTCCTTTCTTAGAGGTAATAGGTACAATTTTCGTTGGTCATCAGCGTTTGGTTGTGCTAGTTTACGCATTGTTCGAGCGCTTTGGAAGTGTTATTGGTTTCGATAACACCGTATTTGCTTAGCTTTTCGAAATAATAGGCCTTGCAGCTGTGTTCGCAAAGCGTCTTTTACAAGTCGACTTGACTTGTAAAACGCCCGAGGGGGGGGGGCGTCTTACCATACCCATAGTGTAAGAGGCCCTTTTGCAACTTTTTCCAAAATGTTAAAGTTTACGGTTTG